CGGGATTTGAGCCGCCAATACCCTTGGGGTAAATGGCGTCCTAGTTCGGAGTTGGATGACGGGTTCCCCGGAGCCTTCGGCAAATTTCCTTTGCATCTCCTCCATTTTGGCCAGCATGGCCTCATATTTAGAATCTGCATGAGGGGCGGCAACGGCGGTATGTGCTTGACGGGCCTCCATTTCATCAAGCCGGTGCTGGAGGGCCGAAATAATTTCGTCCCTGGTGTCCTTCGGGAGGGCCTCTGCCCCCTGCGAATGGCCATGGGCTGAGCGGGCCTGGTTGATTTGATGTCAGGTGCCGTCGGCATGGAGGGGTGCTTTGCCTTTATCCCGAGGGGGAAGCTTCTCATCTGCCCTGGAGATGGATCCGTCACTTTCATGAGGTCTTTGGAGCACCTTTCCGCCGAGGCAGTCTTGGACCACTCGGCGGTCTAACGCCCCTCCGAGTCTCTCGAGGGCGGAGGTCCGGGGCCTTTCTTTGTTTGCGCCGTGGCGGTCCCGGGATTGGACTTCCTGAGAGGCGGTGTCCTGGGCCACAACCCTCTCGTTGTTCCCTAACCGAAGGATAGGGTTCACGAAGGGGAGCGGAGGAGGGGAGAGAATGGCGTTCTCCCCGACCTGCGGCTGAAGGGGTACCAGCGTGCCGAAGGCACCTTGGTTTTGAGTGAGAGTTTGGATGAAGGCGGAGAACGCTGATTGTACGTCAATGGTGAGAACCGGAGGGCTCATTTGGTTTTCGCTCCGGTCCTTCTTTTTGGCCTCGATGCTAAGGCGGGCATCGGGGGCATTATGTTGGAGCTGAAGGCGCAGGTCGACAGCCGTCTGTTCCAACCCAGCGAGGGCGCCGCCCTCGGGAGCCATGTTGGAGGCTTCGAGGGCGTTGACGTCGCCGAGGGCCAGGTTCCTGTCCTCATGAGTCTTGGATTGGGCACAGGTGTTTCTTCCCATTTTGATAGGTGTTTTTAGCTGAAGGGGAGGGTTTCTTACTTGATTGTTCGAGCTCTCAACGAGAGCACCAAATGATGGATAGTGTACCCGAGGGGCAGCTTATCCGAGGGGTTATTGCGGAGAATAACTAGAGAGAAGTCAGAGCAAATAAATAAGAGAGAGAGAGTATATTCGATATGTATTAATCGTGGTTTACAATGGGGGAAAGGGATGCTATTTATAGTAGTAATAAATGATAGATAAGGACACGTGTCAGTTTTCTGGTGGTCGAGGGGTCACCTCGACCGGGGTGGCACTGGCACCCGCATGTGAAGAGGATATTCTGTCGAGGTGGATGCCTTCGGCTGAAGGGTGCTGGACCGAAGGCTCTTTTAACCGAGGGTTGCAGGTGTCGAAGGCTTGGTTTTCAAGCCTTGTTCTCCTGTGATGCCTCTTCTAACCGAGGGCTCCTACCTGCCGAGGGCTGCAGTTGCCGAAGGCTTGGTTTTCAAGCCTTGTTCCCCTGTGATGTTTCTGAGCTCGATTCTGTCACTGGTAGCCTTCGGCCATGGGGCCGAAGGCACCCCTTTGCGTATTGTGGGCTGCTTAGAGCTCCATTTTGCTGGGCTTGGCCCGTTTGGGTCTGTTGGGCCTGATTGTAGTAGAGGAAGTATGTGGGTCGGGGGTCCCTGAGCCATATACTCCATCATGTTACATCTTTCTATGCGCGAGTTACATTTGGACTTGTCTCAACAAGTTACATTTTGTATACACCTAAGTTAGATCTTCCATCAATGCGAGTTACACTTTTTCATAACACGTATTACATCACAAAATAAACCCCAACTATTGAAATAAAAAAAATCAATTTTTTTGCAAACAAAAATGATTTTTTTTGGCAAAAAATGATTTTTTTGGCAAAAGAATTATTTTCCTTTGAAACATTTTTATGGCCGTAATTCTAAAAACAAAACATATTAACTATTTACGTAAATTAGTTTGAGCAATTAGATTCCTTGTTTTTATTCTTTACATTTGATAGTATATATGAATTTACATCTTTTTATGCGTGAGTTTCAAATAAGTCTTCATACTGTGACAAAAAAGTCAATCAAATCCTTCCAGTGAATTATCACTCAATTAGGTTCGCATGGCACCGATGTGGTTATATATGTCCAATTCATGTCCTGAGTTGGCGTTTAATTGACTTCCACGTCAAAGTTCCTCATCCTTTTACTTTTTCTTTTATTTTTTATTTTCTTTTCTCCATTAAGACAAAGTCTATATATTCATCTCTTCCCTCTAACTCTTTCATCTACGACGAATATAGTGCATCCAAGGTCGCCGACGATTGGGAAAGCTCCTAGCTTGAAGTTTGTATAAACCAACCTATTTTCTTCCTCCATGGAAGCGTTACCTTTTCACCCCCTTTGATCTCAACGTTTTTCTCTTCCATAATTTTATTCCTCAACTTTCCATTTTTTTTTGTTTTTTGTTTTATTTTTCTACCTTCCAATAGACCAAACTTGAATAATTATAAAAATACAAAGAAACAAGACCAGACCAGATCAGACCAGATCAGACCAGCAAATTACGATCCAAGTAAAAACATCCTAGCTCTATTCTACTCTGTATCTTTCTTTTCTTTTCCTTACTTACCTTTCTTTTCTTTTAACTCCCAATCTCCACTGCATCGATTAAAAATGAATTGATAATGTTGCATGTAAAAAATAAGATTGAATTTGTATTGGTCGAGTCCCAAAAATTAATTGTTTCAAATATATTGATGATCTGAAGAAAGTGATTCGTTTGGAATTTAATCATTTAGATCTAAATAATAAATAAAAATATTGAAGATGAGAGGAGAGCTGCGAAGCCACCGGACCTTTGATTTTCATTTGTGGACGAACCACTCGAGCTTCCAGGGGGCGGCATCCACGCAGCGAAGCAGAGAACATGGCAATCGATTTTGGACCGGCGCGATGAACACAGACCAGACAGAATTGGTTTGGCTGCTTCGAGGAAGAAAAGGGGATGATGAAGAAAGGGGGAGAGAGAGTTAATTGGGTGGGATTGAGAAGAACTTGACCGGATTAAAGAGATATAAGGGTCAAATTGAACGTTATTCTTGAGAATCTCATATTGGACACTAAAATTTCAAATGGATCAAATTGGATACTATGGTTACTTGTGTGTCTCATATCAGACACTAGAGTTTTAAATTGATCAAAATTTAGGTTTTTCTGATCATTTTCGGACACCCATCAAAGATTTTCACCTTGAAAGATATTCCTTTTTCTCTTGGTTTTATGTACCTAAAAAATAAAAATAACTTAATTTGTGTATTTAGATTTAGAATATATAATTAGATGCTACAATTAAGAAAATCTATTATAATGTAAGTGAATTCTTTTATATTTTTAAATCAATTTAACAAATCGATATTTCGTAAAGTTCCATAAAAATCATATGAATGAAAAGTCTTAAATATATTTTTAAATTGTAAAATATAAGAAGTTATTAATTAAAATCAAATTATATATTCTAAAACTTCAAATTAAATATTCCAAAATTATATACGTAATTAAATTGGTTTACTTTCACCAAAAAGGAAAGGAAATGTAAGACTAACAATTTTTTTAAAGGAAGAAGAGAATCATAAGTGAGTGTCCAAAAACTATGAATTATGAAATTTCAGTGTCCAATATGAGATACATATGTAACCATAGTGTCCAATTTGGTCTATTTAAAACCTTAATGTTCAATATGAGATTCTCATAAAATCATAATGTCCAATTTGAGTAGGGGTGGACTCGGGTCCGGGCCGGGTCCGGGTCGGGCCTAGGCTCGGGCGGGCCGGCGGTTCAAGTATGGTGGACCCGGGACCGGCCCGGGTAGCCACTGGGTCCGGTCCGGGCCTCCGGTTTGGATTTTTTTTTTGCTTTCCTAACCCCCCCCTCACCCCCACCCTCCCAAACCCCCCCAAACCCATCATACCCATCAAGCCCAACCCGGGTGGAACCCCAAAAATGAAAAAAAAAAAATAAAAAAAATTCAATTTGGCCCCGGCCCGACCCGGCTGGGCCGGTTCACCAAAATTGAGACCCGAGCCCGGACCCACCCTACCCCCCGGGCCTAGGCCCGACTCGGACCCGGACCCGAGAACCGGGCCGGTCCCGCACAGTAGCGGGTCGGGCCGGTCCACGGGCCGGGTGGCCCGACCCGAGTCCACGACTAAATTTGAGTCTTATCCCCCGGATTAAAAGAAAGAGAAAGACATAAACATTAACTCCGTGGATATAGCCACGCGTATATTTACCGGTTACCTATTATTTACCTGCTAAAAAGTTAATTTGAACTTTTTTTAGGAGTTGAAGTACTTAATTGAATGATTATTTAGTACGAGGACTTAATTGACTTTTTCAGTATAGTACGATGACTTATTTGACAATTTTCCCTTCTTTCTATTTAATTTTCTATTAGTAAAAAATAAAAAAATACATATTTTAAATTTTTACGAAGTGACATATGTAACGATATTTTGAAATAAATGTTTACTACGTAGTACTCCATAATATATTACTCTCTCTGTCTCATTCAAAGGTTCTCCTTTTCTTTTTTCTTGATGTCTCACTTAAAGGCTGCCATTTTCTATTTAATAAAACAATTAACACTCTTAAATAATAATTTATCAAATATGAAAAAAATACATCTACAACATCGCATTTATCATCAATAATTCATTATATTATATACCCATTAAAATTGTTTCCAAAATATACTCGAGTTAACATATTTAGTTATTGTGTAAATAATCGTACAATTTTGCAATGAGAACCTTGGAACGGGACGAAGATAGTGACAAGTAAAACGGTACTCACATGAAAATAATAAAATTCAACATGTTAATACAATAAAATTCAACGTTAATATATAGAAACGAAGGTAGTGCATGTCATTAATTTTGAGGTAAAAAATATAAAAAAATCAGATCAAGTAAAAATCATAAATGTAAATGCTCTAACATCTTATTAAAAGATCTTTTTAGATATCTTACATTCCTAAATTTAAGCCTAGAAGTCAGTCATTCTTTAAAAATTTCCAAAGAAATTACGGACAGTATCAATTAAATATCAAGTTCCCGCGCGGTAACTATACATAGATGGTTGCTCAATGACCGCCTTTTATTAAACCCTAACAAAGCAATTAAGTTTCTGACTTTAAGATTAAGGTTTTTTGTAGAACAAACTTCAATTCTACAATTATCTCTTCGACAAAATCATATATGTCGGAAGAAAAGATGTTCCAAAAGAAGAAAGAAACGAGAGGGCGGCAGAAGATCGAGATAAAGATGATCCAAAACCACGCAAGCCGCCAGGTCACGTTCTCCAAACGCCGCGCCGGAATTTTCAAGAAAGCGGCGGAGCTCTCCGTCCTATGCGGCGCACAGGTCGCCGTCATAGTCTTCTCTCCCAAGGGAAAAGTCTTCACCTTCGGCGACCCAAGCATGGAATCCGTGCTCCGCCGGTTCCAACCCACCGCCGAGCCTCTCGGTGGGCCTCCTGCTCTTCCATCTCCGCCGCCGTATACGGTGGCGCGGGAGATAAGCGCTCTAGAGGAAGAGAGAAAGAGGCTGCAGGAGATGGAAGAAACAAGAAAGTGGACGTGGGAGGGCATAGATGTCTTTTGGTGGAATAGGGATATTGATGAAATGGGAAGAGAAGAGTTGATGGATTACAAAGCTGCATTGGAAGCATTGAAGGCTAACGCTATAATGAAGGCCAGAGGTAATATGGGTGTGAGAAGACCGGATAACTTTGAAGACTGCGGGGGCAACATTGGGTTTTCTCATGATCCATGGCTGCTTCCTTCCACTTCTGTTTTTTCTTTGGCAAATTAACTTTTACTACTCCTCCATGTGTGCAAAGTAATTAAGCTTTTTGGAGCGGATAATTTTATTTTACCCATCTAATTAGGATATAAACTTTTAATTATATTCTAATTTTGATTTTGCAACGATTTTAATGTACGCAGTTTCTAAATGCAAGTTTTAATTACTCTATATTAAAATTGAATTAACCATTTATAGAGAGGATTTAATTTGAACATTGATTGACAAAAATATTGACTTTGCCGAATCAAATTGAGAAGGATGTAGTACTTAAAAGTTTGTTTGATGGACATATACAAACAATTAAAGTTGGGAAAGTTCCCGAAATAAGAGTAAAAAAGTTTGAAAATTCTAAAATAGGATTGTCATGTTTTTATTCCCAAAATATGAGTAATTACTGCCAAGTTTGGAAAATATTGTCATGTTTATAATAAAGAGAGTTTAATGTAAAGTACAACACATGACAGTAATTAGTCCTATTTTGGGAATATAGAAATTGCCCTAAATAGTGTGAAATAATGGAACATGATACTCTCTAAGGAGCCCTGGCAGACATATTTATAATAAAGAGAGTTTAATGTAAAGTACAATATTGATCCTATAATAATTCTATTACACCCCCTCAAGCTGTGCGGGAGAAACAACGCGCAGGTTGTCCTTTAAAAAATGAAAACGCTGAGTAGGTAGACTCTTGGTAAAAATATCTGCCAACTGTAGATGAGTAGGAACATGTTGTACAACCAGATCTCCATGGGCAACACGTTCCTTAACAAAATGATAGTCAATCTGAATGTGTTTACTGCGAGCATGCGGAATAGGATTTGCAGTCAAATAGGAAGCTGAAATATTATCACACAGCGCAGATGCACAGGTTCGGTGATGGGATAGCCGAGCTCAAAGAGAACATATCTAATGTGTAGTGTATCCTGAACTGTGTAGGCAATAGCACGATACTCGATCTCTATGGATGATTTGGATATTGTGGGCTACTTTTTGGACTTCCAGGAAACTAAATTAGGACCCAAACAGACAGCAAAACCTGTCGTGGACCGTGAGCTATCAGGATATCCGGCCCAATCTACATATGAGTAGGTAACAACACACGTGGGTCGGTCGGAATGCTGGAGCCATAACACATGATCACGTGTTCCCTGCAAGTACCTCAAAATTCTTTTGACTGCAAGTAGATGAGTAGTACGAGGGACATGCATGAACTGAGAAACTAAGTGTACTGCATAAGTAATATCTGGCCGTGTCAAAGTTAAATATTGTAACGCACCGACCATGCTGTGATACTCTGCCAGGGCTCCTTAGAGAGTAAAAGACATGCTGGCACCGATCAGCCCGGTAGAGTCCACAAGTAACTCGCCATCAGAAAGAGATAAAGTAGTGCGAGACGCTAACGGTGTGCGAACAGGTTTAACCGTATGAAGACGTCAGAAGATCAGAAACATATTTATTTTGAGAAAGAAACAAACCTTTAGATGAACGAGTCGCCTCAAGACCCAAGAAATAATGTAAGTTACCCAGATCCTTCATGGCAAAGTGATTAGAAATAATAGAGATAAATTGGGTAACAGTAGACGCAGAATTGCCAGTAATAATAATATCATCTACATATAGTAATAAGTAAATGATAGAATTATTATGGTGATAGATAAATAACGAATTATCAGATTTACTACAGGAAAAATTATGCTGCAGTAGAAAGCTACTAAACCTATGAAACCATGCCCGTGGGGCTTGCTTAAGACCATAAATGGCTGATGGAGTATATGGGTCTGAGCCCCCGGACCCACATACTCAGAAGAACAGAAAGCACAAGACACAGAGTGGCGCCCTCGTCGGCCAAGGGACCCCCGTCGGCCGAAAAGGTGCCAACTCAGATTATGGTCCTGAGCCCAAGGAACCCGGGTGCCCTCGTCGGCCGCGCCCTCGTCGGCCGTACCCTCGTCGGCCACAAAGACCTCACAGAACCGGATTCTACACTTACTCATTTGTACAGCCCATTAGTGGCTTTGTATTCGGCCCAGTAGCGGTCCAGTTGTAAATGGGCCTCCCAAGCCCAAGGCTTGGGAGCCCAGCCCGTATTTTCTCTATAAATACTCCCCTTGGGAGTAGTTATAGGGGTTACAAATTCATTCTATTGAAGCATATTACTGCACTTCTCTCTCTAGCTCTCACTTCTCTCTAGATATACTCTATCATTTGGTGCTCTCGTTGAGAGCTAGAACAATCAAGTTAGCACCCTTCGTCGCTACCAAGCACAACTAACCACTGATCATGGGAAGAACTAAATCAAACCGCAACCTCGTCAGCAAGGCCATCCCTAAGGACCAAGAGGCCAGGTAGCACGATGAGGACGCCACGGCCAACCAGGTCGGCGGAGGGGACGTCTTCCAGGAGGCCTTCAACCTCACAGCGGACCTCCGCAACCAACTCAACGGTGGAGCCCCTGATGCCCGCATCGGCTTGGACAAGAAACGAGCTGAGAAGACGGACCACGCCCCGGCCCAGCCTATGGCCGCGGCCTCTCCGTCCGTGGATCCACAGGTCCAGGTCGCGCTATCGGTCATCATCGCCAGCCTGGCTCAGAACCCCATCGTCCTCAGCGCACTCTTGCCAAGGACCGGGGGGAACGTCACTCCACCTCCTCAGCCCCAACCGTTGGCCGTCCAGATAGGCAACGATGAGGGGGTGATGGCCCAGGACACGGCGTCGTCCCACTCCCACCCTGCTTCCCCTCTTCGGCCTGGGCAGACCCCAGCGCGTGGAAAAGCCTCTGCCTTCAACAGGCTAGGTGACACGCGCCGTCGTCCGGTTTCGGAGAGGATGGCAGGACGGATTGGTGAGCCTCGGCCTGGCTCGCCGAGGGAAAGCTTGGGGTCTGTGTCCCGGACAGCGGACCAGCCCCGCCCGGACAAGGGCAAGGGGAAGTTGCACGAGGACGACGTGCGCCACCAGATCAATGCGGCTCACAACGAGCGCATGAGGAACCAGCCGGGCGCCGCAGCGGCCGCCAGGGACCCCCGGGACGAGGTCATCGCCCAGCTGGAGAGGAGGCTGGCCCAGATGGAGGCCAAGCAGTCGGCCAACATCCCTACGGCCGGCGCCTCCAACGACCTCGGCCTCAACGCGCTCATGAACAAGGTTAGCGCCCTGGAGAGGGAGCTGGCCAAGGGGCGAGGTGACCCCATTATCCAGGTCAGGACCAGGACCCCTTTCACCAACAGGGTCCTCTCGGCCCCCATCCCGGAGAAGTACAGGGGAAACACCATCAAGTCCTACGACGGCCGATCAGACCCTCAGGAACACTTCAGCCGTTATCAGAACAACATGCTGATGGTGAACGCGTCCGACGAATACCTCTGTCGTTGGTTCCTCTCTACTCTCGAGGGGCCAGCGTACGAGTGGTTCAACGCGCTCCCCGAAGGGAGCATCGACTCATGGCAGGATCTGGCCCAACGCTTCCTCACCCACTTTGCCGGGAGGAAGCGTGCGAAGAAGTATTTCACCCACCTCCTCTCCGTCAAGCAGCAGCATGATGAGTCCCTCCGGTCATTCATTGATCGGTGGACGAGGGAGACCGAAGAAGTCGAGGGGGCCGACGAGCGCACCCTCCTCTCCTTGTATCAGGGAGCCCTCCGCAGCTCCCCGTACGCTAGGAGCCTCATCACCGACCCCCCGAAGTCGTACGCCAAGGCGCTCCAGCGCGGAGGCTTGTATGCCGATGCCGACAAGCTCCACAATCACAAGAAAGAGGGGGGCCATCCCTCCAAGAAGACAAATCCTTCGCCGGCCCCGGGTCCGTCCCCGGCCGGCCAGGGTGCCCAGGGCCGTCACGGCTCTGGTGGACAGAGTAAGAAAGATCACCACTGGCGGCCGAGGTTGGAACGGCCGGGGGTTACCCTCACTCACCCGGTCGGCATCATCCTCGACTATGCCGAGAAGCATGGCCTCATCGAGCAGGCCCCTCAGCCGGCCGAGGAGGTCCTTGCCATCCAGCAGGGCGGCACATACTGCCGGTTCCACAAGAACTCGTCGCACAACACCGACGATTGCATCACACTGAAGAAGGCCATCGAGCGCCTTATTCGCCAGGGGGAACTCTCCCATTTTGTTAAAGGTGGCCCACGCAAAAACACATGGGTAAACACCGGCAGACATGGGGGCGAACCCTCTGCGAAGAAGCGGGAGATTGGTAGGCTCAGCGACGACGAGGACTTCGAAGAGCCCTCCCCAAAGAAGAATCACATTCACCTCATCGTAGGTGGGAACACTGGGGGGGACTCCGCCACTCAGAGAAAGAAATGGGCCCAATCCCTCTACATTGGGGAGGTGTCCCACGTTCCCCCCCCCCCCAGCCGAAGAAGCAGCGAACGGAGGCGATCACCTTCACCGACAAGGATTTGCCTCCGGGGACGGGATCACACAGGGACACCCTCGTCATCCGGTGTGAGATCAGTGACTCCATCATCCACCGCACTTACATCGATACGGGGAGCTCCGTCAACGTGATGTACCTGAATACCTTCCGGCAGCTGAAGCTGGATAGAGCTCTGCTAAAGCCGATCAAGACACCGTTATCCGGCTTCACCGGGGACTCTATCGACGCCGAGGGCACCATAGTCCTCCCCGTGGAGGTCGGTGACGGCCCCCATCGCGCCAGGATTGACATGGAGTTCATGGTGGTCAACCTCCAGTGCGCCCACAACCTGATCTTGGGCCGGCCAGCGCTGGAGGACTTGGAGGCCATCATCTCCATGAAGCACTTGTGCCTAAAGTTCCCCACCAATGACGGCATCGGCTACGCCAGAGGAAACCAGAGGATTGCCACGGCATGCTACCTCAAGCTAACAAGGCCGGCCGAAAGGGAAGGACAGAGGATAGACACCATCACGGCAGCCGTTGCCGAGGACGAGGAGAGGCCGCATGCCGAACCGGCCGAGGAGGTCGAGGAAGTCCCTCTGAATACCTCCCGGCCGGAGCGGGTCCTCAGAATCGGGAAGCAGTTCCCTCAGGACCAACGAGATGCCATCCTCCTCGTCCTGCGGTCATACGCCGTTGTCTTCGCGTGGGGCCCGGATGACATGCCAGGCATCAGCCGCCAGGTGATTACTCACCGGCTGACTGT